ACTCCCTGAGAGTTGCAATTTAGAAAACTAACTTCTCACATCTCTGACTGTTGTACAAGCTTGGTTTTTGATATTGCCCCAAACTATCCAACGTAATAATTTGAACCATGTGAAATGTGACTGCATTTCACAATACCAGAGAGAACAGGCCGATTAAAGAATTGATTTCATCATCCTCATCTTAAAACTGCTGAATTTATATATCATTTGTGATAAACCATTTGGCTTCCAACACCCTACCATTTGTAGCACAAGAGTTATGCAGTTTATTGTGTAACAGGAACATGTTAGAGGGTAAGTAAGATGCAATGTAGAAAGTTACTGTACATGATCTGGGCTGGATACAATAGACAGGGATGTGTCACTGCGTGTTAAACTGCAGAAGCCTCTGTGTTGCAAGGTCAGAAGACCAGCAGTCATAAGATTGAATCTACTCGACAGAGTGAGCTCCCGTCTCTTGTCCCAGTTCCTGCCAACCAAGCAGTTCAAAAGCATGTAAAAACGCAAGTAGATAAATAGTTACCACCGTGGTGGGAAGGTAACGCCGTTCCTTGTCTAGTTGTGCTGGCCATGTGACCACGGAAACTGTCTTCGGACAAACGCTGGCTCTATGGCTTGGAAACGGCAATGAGCACCGCACCCTAGAGTTGGACACGACTGGACTAAATGTCAAGGGGAACCTTTACCTTACCATAGACAGAATTTAGAGGTCTTTGGTGTGTGGGCACCAGAACTTTGCAGCAGCTTGTGACTACAGACACAATGCTGTGCTGATAAATTGGGAACCATCTGAGATGGCATCCAGGCTGTACTAATGGCCATCACCAGAAGTAAAAAATTAGGGAATCCGTGCATGAGGGCATGCATCTGGGCATGCATGCGCACATGCGCAAACTCCATGTGCGTGCACATTGCTCTTGGGATCTCAGCCAATAACAGGAATTAAGGGCATTTTGCATTTGGTTAATGGAGCTTTCCCTCATATTTCCTGCAGCTGTGAAAACTGCCCAGTACCAAAAGAGTTTTTGTAAGAAATGAGCTGCAGGAAGAAAGGGTTCAAGTCTAGCTTCCCTCAGATGAGATGTGCAGCTGCTAAGCAGTGATACCTGCATTACTCTGTGGTTAAGTTACTGCATAGTGTTTAGAATACAAAAGCTCTACCTGATATGGTTGAGTAGGTCACAGTGAGCACAGATGTGAAGGTGTAGCAATAAAAGGGTCATTTACTGATGCATAGAAGGTGGGTCAAAAGCTGTTGCACGTGCACAGAAGCATTACCTGTGCCTGAGATCCAATGCAAATCTTTGTCTTTTTCATCCTCAATGACATTGGTTGGTATCCTGACCCAGAACTAGAAACGGAGATATTTGGACAAACTAGCTCATGCAAAAATAAATAATTAAATAAATAATGTAAAAAAAATTAATAATATAAACATTATAGTCCACAAAGATAAATATATTATGATATTTAATTTATATTCAGGAGGATTTTTGTTATATATGTGGACTACCTAAAGATGGTTTTGAGAACAAATATAACTGTAAGGGAGAAAAAGACTTGTCATGAAGTTACACATTTATCTGCTTGATATTATTCTATGTTAAAGTATCATTTTCAAGTGTATGGAAAGTCATAGTCAGATGCCTAGCAATAAAGAAAAGTAAAATAAATAAAGTAGCCATGCTGACATTCCTGATATTGACTGCCTAATACACACTTGGATCATCACTAGAAATGGGGACAACTCACGATTTTGGTGAGTCGTCCTGCTTCGTGAGGTCAAAAGCTGATAGCTCACGAAGCCGTCCTGCTTCGTGAGTCGTCAAAAGCTGATAGCTCACGAAGCACAAAGTTGCCCCCATGAACCAATGAATAATGAATTTATTCGTCGATTCATGGGGGGGGGTTACTAAAAAACACACACACACCTGCCTCCCCCGCTGCCACACCACTGCAGTGCCACTGCCCCCCTCCATCCCACACACACCCTGACATCACCACCCATTCATTCCCATACGAAGGGAGGGAAGCCATCCTATGGCTTTTCCATTCTGCTACCGGCCTGCTGATCAGCTGATCAGCAAGCTGATAGGCAGCCACGCACCCCCACAGCCACGCACCCCCACAGCCTACCCCCATCCCCTTCCTCTCCCTACCTTAGCCAACCCCATCCCCGCTGACACCGCCTTACCGTAATCGTCGCGGCCACTGCTGAGGTCTCCATCAGGCCTCCGCACCTGTAGAAAGGGAAACTGGCTGCTCTTTGCAAAGATGGCGGCTGCGGCTTCATTTAGGGTAGAGGGTGGGTGGCTGCCTATTGGCCTGCCAATCAGCTGATCGGCGGGCCAGTAGGCAGAATGGAAAAGCCATAGGATGGCTTTTTTAAAAAAAATCGTATGGGGATGAATAAAAACGTAGAAATATCCATTGATCCGTATTCGTTGAGACTTAAAATTTGACAAATACGGATTGATGAATATATGACAAATTGGCTATATTCGTCAAAAAAAGTTCCGTTTTTATATTTGTCCCCATCTATAATCATGACCGTTAACTCAATTCATTGCTGTGACGTTCATGGAGCTCTTCTGAACTTTTCTGATTTTCATTCCGTTTTACTTCAGCATTCTCTACCAAGCACGCAGTGTGCTGTGATCCCTGTAGTCCAGCTATTATGAATCACAGGAGACTAGGACACTTTTCTGTGGATGCGGCTGCCCCCTTCCTAGGTAGAGGTAGCATGACAGATAACATGTTTTGTTTTATTCATGATTGTTTTTCTGTTTTGGTAAAGGCTCATTGATCCTACACTGGCAGGTCTCCTTTCAACGGTTTGAACTCCGTGTTGTCTTTGGATGAGAAGTGCACATGTATATTTGGTTGGGTGGTTGTCAACAAAGTGCCTCCTCCCACTCTGTTTCCACAGGTGTTCGATTGGCAAGCGGAAATAAAACTGGGAAAAATGGTCACTTGGGAAATGGCATTTGCATTCAGCAATTGAATTGGCAAACGAAATAAGAAATTCTGTTTTATTGAGCCCTGTGGGATGCAGGTGTGTGGAAGGAACGCAGGTATCATCTGTACCTGAAAGCCCTTGCAAGCCAGAATGCGGAGGAGCAAATGGGTTGTTATTGATCATTTACTTTAAGCAATAGGAGGGATGGTCTTGAGCGGTTGTCTCATCTTGTGTAATGGTAGCCCATCCTAATAGCCATTCTTTGACTTACACACTTTTATATTTGAACAGTGGGTTTCACTTTCCTGTCTGAAAAGACCAGGACTCCAGTGTTTCATCAATAGTTCATCAGTTTTAAGGACACAGAGACCCACTTTTTAAAAGGTACTTGGCTGGTGTTGCTGTAATAAGAAATGAAAAAGAAAATATTAAAAATGGGCTTCATTTTAACAAAGATTAATACTTCTTTAATAGATAGTAATTTCTTATGCATCATTCACCCTAGAGGCTATAATAAGAGTTGGGCAAAATGCATGTTGTAAGAAAGCTAATTGCTTGTTTAACTAGTTAAAAGACAGATGAACTTTGAATATTTTATTCGACTGACAGCCCAAGCATTATATTTTGTACGCCGTATCCATAGTGTCTCTATTCTTTGTCTGATTCTACAGTAGGTTTTATAGAGGGAAATCCATTCCCCCCCTCCCCTTTTTAGTACAGTATTTCAGTGTACAGGCATAGCTAAGATCATGCGTGGCACATGTGTGGATTTTCTGCTCTTTGCAGGAAGAGGTTTCCTCTTCATAGGGTTGCCAGATACATGTGTACGAAAAGGAGGACATAGAAAGCCAAAAAGGAGGACAAAGGAGGATGTATTGGGGGGGGCTCTGTGCACGGGGTAGGGTGGGGGGCGTGTCACCTTTGGAATTAGGTATTGGGGAGAATAGCTCTTTGATCATGGGGCAATACCATAACCATTCAACCTACTCAGTCTTAAAAGGTTAAGACTGGGAAAGTTACATTTTTGGACTACTAAACTCAGAATCCACTGGCCACTGTGTTTTCTTGTTTTAAAAATGTTTTAAAATAAAAACAAAACAAATCTACATATACACTTACTGGGCTTCCAGGACCAGTGGAGACAATCTATTCTTTCCTTTAATGGAGACCCATCCCACTTGTTTTATTTATTGATTTTTTATTTTAATAAAAGCATAATAAAGTGAAATAAAAAGTTTAAAAAGTTGTGTGACAGATTTAAAACACTTTATAAAAACCAGAAAAAAAAAACAGAAGGCGTGGATTTCTCTCAGCTTGAGAAATGCAAAGGGTGGAGAAAATGGATTTTTACACACACACACACACACACACACACACACACACACACACACACACACAC